CAGCTAGAACAAAAATTTTTTCACTGTTAAATAGGGCATTGTTTACACTATATATACCGCTATTCAAAACAGAAAATTTCGTACCTACGATTTTTTCAGAAAATGCCGCCTAAATGCCCACTGTGCAAGATATCAAGTATTTACGTCGTGATTTTAACTTACTATTTACAAATGTATTTGACACTGAAGCGGCCGGTAAAATGTTATATTCAAAATCCAAGTATTCTTTTTTATTGGATAAATATTTTAGTATTGATGCAAGTGAATTAAAAGACAATTACCAATGTCACGATTGGTTGTCGAGTGAGTTTTTTCTTCCAAATGGCACGTACAAACAGCGGGAAAGTACTAACGAATGATGAAACTGCTTTAAGGGCCCCCCGCTCAGAAATGGTGATTTTCGTTCAAAAAATCGGTTTTGAGACACGCAAATGGAAACATAGCCTGAAGTGTTTACTTTCAGACTCTGTGTTGCTTTTGGTTACAAAACTGGTTTTTCGGGGACTTTGAGCAAGTTTTCTAATAGCCTCGAAAAAACGGGTGTTCAAATAATGGTTTTTTCCTGGATACTTATGCAATTAAAATTTTTCTGAAAATACAGCTTTGTAGAGCAAACGTTTCTGATCAAAATAAGACCTCGCACAACTCTGTATGACCTTGCATCAAAAAGTAATGGGCATTTTCCTAGAAGTCCTAAAATCGAGTATTTCATACAGCGTTTAATACAGCGTTTTCACTATATAAGAGTTACACTTGAAGTGCGTCCCAAGATTTTTAATAGCGGTTTGTCGTAGAGAGTTCATTCTTTTTTTGTTTAAAAGAGGAAAAAAAACCACATCGACTGACCGGCGTCGATTTTTGAATGAGGTCTTAGTTTTTTGTCAAATTGAGGATGTTTAGAAAATCCGGAAGGAATTTTCGGGTTTTGAAGGTTGTTGGTTGCCTGGAAAACCAATAAAGGCTTAATTGAAAAATCGGCGCCGGTCAGTCGATGTAGTTAGGTGTCTAGTTTAAAATAAAACAAACCCGGACTCTCCAGCTCCAAGTATATTAAAAAATCTTGGGACGCACTTCAGGATCCTTTTTGGACCTTGATCTCTAGAAAACTCCTAAACCGTAAGACCTGGAGATAAAAAAAATTTTTCATTGCCGTAACTCCTTTTGCCGAACGTTTATGGAAAGTTTCGTCAAGATCGGATGTACGGTGTTGGAGATAATTTCTGAGGGAGGGAGGCCCTTAAGGATTTGTGAGTGTTTTTGAAGATGAGAAGTTTTCCAGCAGCGCTCTCGCTCAGTTTTAAGAAGTCACTTTCCTTCTTCTTAATATGTTAATATGCTGATCTCTTTTTAGACTTTATGACCGACAAGCATTGCTTTATGCTCAATTGGATTGTCATTTTTTGATAAAAATACGATGCATTTTTAGACATTCTCTCCTCGGACATTTTCAAACAATTATATTCACATATGTAACAAAGAAAAGGAACGAAGAAAATCTCGTAACGAAAATGTTTTGTCATTAACCGAATCACAGTTGGACATATTACAGAAAGCAATTGCATGGCGTTTCAAAATAGGACAGTGTCATAATATTATTGAACAGTAGGATTTCAAAGTGTTACTCTCGTGTTATATTTCAGGCCGTTTGTATTTCAGTCGATTGTTGACAAATTCCACATTAATACGACTAATTGAACAATCATACACGTATCACAAAGCTCTTATCTTGCTGTATTCTTTTATTGTTTTGATATTTTTCTGTTTAGCTCTTCATATGAGATTCGTCGTATTTTGAAAAAGAAAAATCATGATTTTATTGCCAATAATTATCTCGAAGAACTTCGAACAATTCTCTACCCATTATCAATTAGATCAACAGCTGATAAATAAGAATTTCTCGTGCTAAATGCACTTGAGAAGGAGCGTGATGCTCCAGAAACAGCTATAGCAATAGAAGAAGATGATTGTCCAACAGAAGGTAATAATGGTATATCTACGATTCAACATATCCAAAGTGAAATGATTAGTACGTATAAATCTTAATACTCTACATCTTGTGAGTCAAAAGAGTTACGCTGTTTAAAATCAAGCATTTTTTGAATTATTATATTCTCTTCAGATGTTCGAAAATACCCATCAAAACGTGGAACAAAACCAAGAAGAAAAATAAAATATAATTTGTTTATTTGCAATCTTGCTTGGGGATGCAAAGTCACACAAATCGTGAAAATGTTTATCAAACGTGGTTACTCGAAAATGAAGATTAACATGCAACGGGATCAAAATGGTAATTTTACTGGTTTGGTTTTTGCACATGTACCAGAAGTTGATTTAACCAGATTAATAAACGAAATTATGCTTTAAACATAAAGCGAACATTAACAAATATTCCTCACGAGGAAAAATTGACAAGGTGTACAATATCAACGACAATTGAAATAACATTTGCTCCGCAATGTAATGATATATCGGATGGATTAATAAAAACATGGTTCAAATATTATGGATCGATTGTACAAATTCATTCGCGTCACAATGTCCAATTAGAACGATTAGTGTCCCAAATTAAATTTGAACAATATGATTCGGTGGACAAAATAAAGTCATCCTTACCGCTGGATGCATTATTCGTTGAAAATGTTCAAAAGGTGGTTAATTATCTATCAGACTCACATCCTGAGATGATGGTGAAGCAGAGAAAAGTACACAATGCCAAAAGTAGACGAACAGCGTACCACCAAAACAAATAAATAAAAACAGTGGCTCGTTTTTTTGTTGTTTTTGATCGTATTTTGTTGTTTCTGATCTTATTTTGTATAAATAAAACGTGCTTGTTTGTTTATTTCTCAGTTTCTATACTACAATGGGTACACGCTCTCTTTAAAAGAATCGTTTATTGACGCTCGACTTGTATTAATTTGATCACATTATAGCGAAGAAACATTCTGTTCTTGTAATTGATGTTTGATTTTGCTTTGTTTCGGGATTGTTTGCTGATAAAAGCTGTTATGTGAGACAGTAATATCTATGTACGAACTTCAAATACGTTAAACTTCCTTTGTTATATATATTTATATTTCTAAAGCGTTCTGTTGCAGTTTGAACAAGCAGAAAATACAAAATTGTAGTTTTTGAGAAAAACATTTAGAAGTTTTTTCGATTTTTTACCAAAATTTTGAAATGTAAATAAAACCTTTAAATTTTAAAATGAAGACTTGTTTCTTGTGTCATCAGATGGAGCACATCAAGTTGTACATAGAAAAAAGTATTCATCGTTGCAAATGAAGTTTAACGAAGAAATTCAAATTTTACCTTCCTGGTGGAATTTTAGTGCTAAAAGTATTTTGAAAAGAAACCTTACCTGTAGTTCTCCGAAAAGGAAGCATTTTGGAGCAAAAGTGTGATTGCAAAAGTTGTTGAGAATGTCATTTTCTATGGTATAAGTCGTTGCTTGCTTGAAACTCTTTAAACCTGATTTTTCAATTAAAAATACGGTTTTTAAGATTTTAATTGAAAAACCCTGTTTAAAGAGTTTCGAGCCAGCAACGACTTATACCATAGAAAATGACATTCTGAACAACCATTGCAGTCACACTTTTGCTCCAAAATGCTTCCTTTTCAGGAAACTACGTTACGGGCAACGTGCTGTGAAAATTTTTTCTCTAAGCTAATTACAGAAATTTTTTAATTTTGAATTGTTTTGTTAAATATTTCCGATTTGTAGAGGACACTTCGAAGTATATGTTGTGAAGTCTTTTTGGCTTATTGATATTATCTGGCTGAGAAAAAAACTAATTACTTAAAAAAATGATGTTAAATTTTTGAGCACAGGGCTATTATTAAAATATTTCCTGACCGTTCGTCTTTCATCATAAAAATTTTGTTCTTCCCTAAATCGTTAGAGAAATATGTGGAGAATATTTAGCACGGAAAGAAGAAAAATATTTTATTCGTTAGTTAGCAGCAATAACTGATTACTGCTAATTAACGTTAATACAGTCTACTCTACTAGCTTACAGTCCCATTTGCAGGTTCAGTAAATCTGTTCTTGTTACGGTGGAGGACATACCATAAGGAACTACCAAAACAACAAATTATTGGAAGTGATATTTTTGATTCATTTTCTTCTCACGGACGCCGATGAACACATGTACCGTTTTCAACCTCATGTTAAACTAAAAGATTTTTTTTCGTCTACGAAAATTAAAAATACTGTATTTTTTTAAATAAAATGAACTGCTTGAACACCTAAGTGGTTGAAGTAAATTCAACAAATTGTGTCTTTGTCACTCATTCATAATTACTTACTGCAGGAGTTCTTATATTCAATGGGGAACGTTTTTGTGTAAATATCGAGCATTATTTTTGCATGTTCCCGATATGCTGGAGAGTTAACTATTTTTCTGTTGAAAAGAGCTAAATCTGAACTTCGTAAAACATAGACAACAAATTTTTTCCTGATTAAGTTTGAGTGAGAAAAAATCTAAATAGCAAACGTCTCCAAAAAAGCTCTTGGAACTTTCGCTCTTTTCAAACATGTTTCTCTGATTAAGCATATTTTTTCCCTATAACAGAATATGCCTGAAATTATGTAATTGTAGAAAGTAGAAGTGTTTTTATCGCTCTTTCAAACGGAGGATGATAAACTATCTTTCGGCCCACTTTTCAACTAGAAATTCGCAAATTTTTTATTAGGTTCAGAAACACAGTTAATTAAATTTAATTAATAATTTTCAGATACTGAACCAACTTTCTCCTTTTGCTAGACGCATTTTCTGAAACAGCATTCAATTTTCTGAAAATTCACATTATTTAAAATCTTTACTAGTATATTTTGAGTCATAAATATAGAAATTTTCTCGATGTGTCATCTTTCCATGCAAAGTGGTGCTTTTCAACTAAACCTGAGTTTCATAATACGGTTTTTTTTACCATTGAGGAATTATTAAGGAACTTTTAGAAAGTAGAGAGATCGACAGCGTTTTGCACGAACTTCATTCTCATCTATTTAGTTTTTAAAACTTTTCTTTTCAGGCTGACGTGGAAAGAATAAAAAGGAAAAGTACGTTGCTAGACCTTTTTGAGATCAATCGGAAGAATGTTGTCGTACTGTTCAAATTGGATAGATAAAAAATTGTTTGCCAGACAAATTTGTTCTGTAGATTTTGATCTTGTCGCTGAGAAATACAGCTTAACATTTATACCATTACTTTTGCAGCATATGTTATATGCACATTTATAGGATATTAAATCAAAAATGAATGCGCTCTTTTTCAGAGGCATGACGATCCAAAGACATCATCACTTCTAAGAAATCTAACTAAACCAAGATGAGAAGATCTAAAGAATAATTTATTTTTGTTTGAATTACCAGCTGCTACAGTTCAGTTTTATTTATTTATTAATGTTAAACTAGAAATAGAAAGGGTTTTCGGTTGCTTCATTAAGTAACAAACCAAAAATGCTTGTTTGTTGTTTATTTCGTTCCGTCGCTGAGCAAATTCAGTTTTTCTAAATCAAGAGCAAAAAAAGTCGAATTTCTGTACGTAATTCTCAATTTTTTCCATCAGAACTTGACCTTCTACGCAATAAAAACACCATATTTAGAATCAGCTTCGAAACTGACGAGGAATGATCCCCAACTGATAAATCGCTTTTTCAACGAAACCGACTGAACTATAGGTAGTCGACGATGCTGATTCCGAATACCACCATGAATGCTGCCGCTAGGCCTTCAAAGACCGGTATTCTGGAAAACCAGTTTTCGAGAAACTCTAAAGAACAACCAAAAGCTTTCTTAAT